ACGTCGAATCTGAATCACTTGAAAAAAACACGGGGGTGCTTAACTTTTTTCCAGGTGTATAGTTCCAAAGAGACTCTTGGTTCCTTTCCCAGTTGATTAGTTCCAGTGTTTTTTTTATTTATCTTTATGATATCAGTAAGGGATTTAATAATTACTGTTTAATTCAAAACACACGAGTCTAAGGCATTAATTTCAGCATAGCTACTCTATCAAAAATGACAACACTTGTATTGGTCCTTTATATTGAAATCTTATAAACAGTAGTGGTCTTAAATTTACTAGCAGCCTATATATAAACAAATTAAAATTTTCGGTAGTTATAGCATTTCTTTTGTTCAATGTGTTATTAACCATAAACTACACTACGCCAATAACTTTTCAGTAGTTTACCATGTGATTTTCAGACTTTTCTTCTTAGAATAATCTCCAAATAGAATGGATGCAATATAATGAAAAAGACACAATAATATGTACCTCATACAACTTTATGGAGCCCTACATTGTTTCAGGAAATAACAATTCCTCTCTTAAAATTTTCTAAAGTGACTGCCTCCACTACTATCGATGGTAATTCCTTTAAACCAATCACCTTGTCAGAAAAATAAATCTGCCTTAATTGGAACCTTAGCCACCTTCTACAAGTCTTAAAATTTATACCCTCTCATCCAATGCAGAATAAAGAAATCAGAGACCTTTATCATATTGATCCCCCAAAATACAGGATTTTATTCCCCACGGTAGACAGAGCATAGATGGCCCATTATGTAGCTTTGTGCTAAAAAACAACAACATACTGAAATATTTCAAAAGTTGAGTCTTAAGAAAATTTCGAGTTTTCTGTTTTTGATCGCCCGATAACATCACCTTTTACCTAGCCCTATAAAATAACCCTTGCACTACAAAATCATTCTAGTGTGCTATGCAGGAATACCATGTATTTCATACCCCCCTTATCTAATATAAAATTTTGCAAAGTTTCTCCACACATATTGTTTATTTAGTTTCAATACACAGTGTTCGTGAAGGAAGCCAGTAAGTTCCTTTTGCCTTAGTTACTCAAGAAACTAGGTCATTCAGCTAAGGTACTATATTCACTTCCTCATGAGAAATACTTCTACATTATAGGATATATAACATTTGACAGGGATCTTTTCAGTAGTAGTAGTAGTAGTAGTAGTAGTAACAGAGTACTAACTATTTCAGTACTAGCAGTAGAGTACTATTTCAGTAGTAGTAGTAGATTACAATTTCAGTAGTAGTACTAGAGTACTAACTATTTCAGTAGTACTAATAGAATACTATTTCAATAGTAGTAATAGAGTACTAGCTAATTCAGTAGTAATAGTAATAGTAGACAGTAGTAATAATATTCAGGATACAACAACCTTTAATATGAAGTGAGAGTGACCATCAATCATATGGGTGGAACCTGAATCCTGGGAAAAATGACGTTGTTTTACATATATAATGCAAAGTTTTCTCAGTCTGAGATACATTTAAGATTACTACAGAAAATAAGACCATCGTACTTAGATTTTAATACACGTAAAGCTCTCCAGTAATGGAGTGGTTTGGATTAGGGATAGAACTCGAAGGAGAAGTCAAATAGGAGGGTAAATATAGATGTCACGAACCCTCTAATCTTGATTGAATGTATCTACTCCCAAAGATAGTGGTTGTGGAATGGGAGACCAAAAGGAAGGACGTTTGTTGTTCCAATGGGTGGCAAATGCATTGATATTAGGAGACCCCAGCTGAGAGCACACCCACCAAACAACCTGTGGTTCGAGATAAATGATCTGCAACCAGATTCAGGGTACCAGGAACATGGCAAGCTAAGACCACCATGTGCTGGCTGTGGGTCCAGAAAATGAGATCCTGGGTCTGAAAGCACAGAGACCTGGATTTGGTGCCCCCTTGTTTGGTGATATAAGTGACCACTATTGGTCTTGAGGGAAAGATGGTATATGGACAACATAGATAAAGGTTAAAAGGGAGGATAGGAAAGGGCATAAAGGCCCACACTGAGATCCCAATCAGGCAATCACGGAAGGTGCATCATCCTCCCCATAGGAGAACAAGGAAGTGGGACAAAGCTCAATGAGCCACCATAAGTTTGAGAATGTTGATATGGAGAAAAAACTCCTCGACTAACCAGAGACCAGAAATCTCTCAAGAGTTGAGGTAAGCACCCTCACCCTTTAAAGATGCATCAGTGAAAAGATGTAAATCCAGATGAGATGGAGTAGGCAGAACCCCCACTGTGGTCTAACTACCAAGCCAGGTTGGCCATGATTGGTGAAGGAAGGGGAACAGGATGGTCCAAAGATCGAGTAGAAGTTCCACTGATTGAGGAGTGTCCACTGAAGGGAATGTATATGGTAATAAGATCCTCCAAGGATTCCCACATTCCAAAAAGAGATAGAACCTCTCGAACTCTGAGAGAATGTGAAGTGAGTGCCTTATGAATTGCTTGCTCCATATCCCAAAGATGAAGAGGAGAAGGCTGGGTTCTAGTGGGGTCAGAATTGAAGAAAATCCTCAAAGGAACAAGGTATTGATTGGGGGTAAGAATGAACCTCTCCACCTTTATCAGGAATCCCACCCATGCCACTTCTTGGATGAGCAGACAAGCATAGTTTCTGGACTGTGAATGGGAAGAAGCAAGCAGGAGCCAGTTGTCCATGTAATGATGAGTGGGAAGACCCATTGAGAGAAGATGTTGGGCAAAAGTTCGTACCACCTGACAAACATAAATGGAATCGAGGTTAATGCAGAAGGCAGGATCCTGAACTGGAACACCCAATCCTTATGGATGAACCAAAGATAACAACGTGACTCAGGAGCAATGGGAACATGAAGATAAGCATCCATCACATCAAATTTAATCATTCAGAGTCCCGAAAAAAAACACCCACTAAAGTGAGAGATAGAAATCCATTGTGAAGCAAGAGGGTTCCAAAAAGAAATTCAACAGGGACAGATCGACGATAGATCTCTAATCTCCCCATAGATCCCATAGATCTGTTGTGAAATGCTGCCACACAACAGGAAAGTGGAACAATCTGGCCCTCAATGGTATGGAAACCTTCATAGCATAATCTATAACACTAGTGTCGATCAGTCCAGGTGCGAAAATAACGAGGATAGGGTCGGGAGTGCCAGGAGGAAGGTAAGGGCCTGGAAAAAGGAGAAGGAGGATGGTTTAACTCCTTAAACCCAAACGGACACTGCCAGCATCCAGTTGAAAATCATGATTTACCCATCAGATGGTGACAGCAACTGGTAACATTTATGTCTCTTTGGCTAAAAACTAATCCAAACCATGTTATTATCCACCTTTTATAAATGGACCAGAAAAGTTTAAAGGTATAGTGATAATTATTAGGACATCATGAAAATTATTCTGACAAAAGTCTGAAAAAATTATGGATTTAAAGAATAAATCCATTAGCAAACTAAGAAGGCATATTCACTGACAGATTGTCAAGATTTCCTTTAAAATCTCTGCACATGTATTTGCATAATGAAAATACCATAGCATTAATACTTAAATAATAAATTCCATACAAAAATGCATACCATTTTGTACTCTTTTATTTACTATTTCAAACTGAAACATAATACTAAAATCTGGTTTTGTTGAGTAGTTAGTGTACACAAGAGCTTACCATTTATCCACTGTTTCTCAGTAAATGTGATAAATAAACACTTATTGATTGTACTTAAAAACATGATTTTTGTACATTTTGAGAGAAAATTCTCACAAAAATACAAAAATATTAATTGAATAGATTATATCTTAAATAGAAAAACAGATGGCTAGGCAATAAAATGTTGCCACTTTTCAGAAGCAATAATGGTTTCCAAAAATATAAACTTTTACAAATAAATGCAATACTTTGTTGTTTTATTTTATCAAAATTTAAGTATTAACTAAAAGAATGAAAAAAAATTTGTTTCATTAATAAGAAATTATGTTTAGCGTAAGTTCTTTTATGTTAATATGAAAAAAAAAGGCAAACAAATATGTTACCTAAATTCTTAGAAGACATACAATTGCAAGAGCTTATTCCATTGAACATACTATTTTATAACAATTTCAAATTAAATAAAAAAATTTGTTAATATTTAACTCAATCCTATTAAACAAGAAGTATAAGTTTTGGCACAGATTTACCAAACAAACTCAATAGTAGAATAGTCCACATTTTCACAGAAAAAATCTGATATTAGCATTAAACTACTATCTATATAAAATACAAAACTACTAGTAATCCTATATGTACAGGCAAGTGAAACAGTCGTAGGTGCTCATGTTTCAAATGTGTCTTTATAAAACATATATTTTTAAATTCATAAAAGAGATATATCCAAAAATAGCTTTATGATACAATTAATAATCCACAAACAATAATGACTATGAAATGTGTGGTTGCATATGTTTGTTTCAGAGTTAGTGGATACAACATGACAACAAAGAAAATACCCTTACTATTATAAGGTGGAAACACAAATCACTGGAAGTTGGCATTATAGAACTGTTGAAGTGATAAGATATTTAAATAAACAGTTATAAAATTACATATGTTTGCACACTTGTGCTACTATTGCTTTAAAACTCTGCCTATAAAGTAATTATCATTTTAGAGGCAATTATGGATGAGGTATAAGGAATTCAAATATATTAATATTTTTTCTTCAATTTTTATATTAGACATTATTCTACTATTTCCATTCCTTTTACAAAACCTGATCTTCCTGGTAGGATATACAGAGCATATAAAAACTCAGGTTCAATATTTATAATAAAACTAACTTATGAAAATTTTAACTTTTAACTGCAGGTCATGAATAAATTCAAATAAACCTGTAATCGCAATACATTTGCATAAAGAAGCAATTAAAAATAAGTTTAACATAACACATTAAATTTCTTACAGAAATAGAAGTAACTTAAAACTCAAACATGCTAATAGTAAATGACTAATTCTTTTATTTTAAGGGCAGGTATAAATCACAGATAAACATCACTTCTTTAATTTGGGAGTTAAAGTAAAAACAAAACACCTTAGCATTGACATTTTAATTTACTGTCTAATTCAACCAACTGCTGTAAAAATCCTTCATTTGGTCTTACATCTCGTTTACTTCGTAGCACATGCAGGGCCTCCTCAGCAGTCATTCCTTTTTTCAACATAAGGTAGGCAATGGCAACAGTTGATGATCGTGAGATTCCCATAAAACAGTGAATTAACACTTTACCTGAGAACATAAAAGAGAAAATGCAAAATTAATCTAGCTTTCACACGTATATAAGTATGCCATTTTGAAGGATGAGGTTCTATATCACTGATAAATCTTTTTCAGTTTTTATTTTGTGATTTTTAACAACTTAATTTGGTAAACAAAGTAGCAAAAGAAATATGTTACTGAATACACACATTGAAACTAACTGACTATGTATATAAAATTAAAATGTCTGATCAACAATAAAAAATATCAAATTCTTAGATTAAAGGATGTGTTTTTAATGTTTTCTTACATAAATGTCCCAGAGAATTTTGGAAATTTCACACACTAAAAACTATAACAATATTAAATGGAATTATATAAATTTTTACAGTAGAAATTATACCTTATTTAACTAATTTTTACTGAATTTCATGCAACTTGGTTATGTATTTACACTGTGACATGGAAATAATGAGGCAATATCAATGATATGCTTCTGATCTGGAAGAGGTTAATTTTTCCTGTGTAAATGAACATTCAATCACTGAATTTAAATCAGGAATGTTTTGTGTGATACAAACATAGACAAATAGTCTGAAGTTTCATTGACATAACACAAAATGTATAATGAGTTAGAGTTTCAATAACAACTATAAATTTAGTTTGTGGGTAGTAAGATTTATATTTTGAAGTCTAAGAAGCTTCTATCTTGAGGGCCAAATAAAAAAGCAAGTTTCAAAAAGTGCAATTTGTACACAAACTGATAGAAAGACACCAATTGGACCACTGATATATTTCAAACTAATGAAAAACAATTCACTGTGCTAGCATGTAAATATTTACTATGAATTGGATCACAAAATAAAGGTTAAGAGTCTGTGTAGTTAATGTAGATATATGTATGCATCATAAGAAACAATAACTTACAAAGAAAACATACCTCCATTTTTTAAAGCAGAATCTATAAAGTTTCCAGCTTCATCAAAATGACTTGAAATACGAGCTTGTGGAATATCTAGTATGTTCATACCCAGATACTGAACACTGATGCTATGATAATAACTCTTGCCAGTATTCACTTGGCCAATTCCAGTGCCTTCAGCAGTGTTTACAACATGAGTTATGCCTATTTGTTGAAGAAATGCTATGTTTCTGGCTGTACTCCTAAAAAGTACAATACAAATGAGAAATGCATAAATGTGTATTAACACACTACATACTACCTGAACAAGAATTTCCTTAATGTTTCTTCAACGTATACAATACAGATAAATGCAACAATAATATCAAATATATCTAGCAGATCCTTTGAGAACACTACATACAGAATCAAAAATTAATAATTAAACATTACTATCTACATAAACAATATTAGGCTGATTGCATAAGCTAACATTAAGAAAATTCAAACAAATCTAACTAATTAGGCCTGATTAGAAATTGCATAAATTAATTACCTAACTTACTAGACCATATAATGAAAAAATTAAATAAAACCAAAGCCATCAAAGAATGAAAATGAGGCAGAATTAAATACATTACTGTCTTAATTAGAATTATAAACCCTTGAACTACATTTTTACCACTTTCTGTAAATCAAGTGAAATACACTTCTAAAATATATAAAACATTTAAAATGAAATTCAGAAAGTTACATTTAAATGGACAGCAAATTGAATACATTGAGATGATTTTGCAGTTAGTCCATCACATTCTTTATCATTCTTTCAATTATACAGCAAATGTTCTCAAATATTCATACATGTTTCAAGACTTTGTCTCTGAACCAATATTGTCAATATGTGTTTCCATATGAGCAAGATGCTGACTCAACTGTTTTTGAAATTAAATGTCTTCTTTTGAAAACAACAGTAAATAGAAGGCATGGATGAGAATATGATTATCAGGAAAGCTACAATTTGAACTTCATTTTATCCCTCAAATCATAGATTCAATTCATGTAGACTTACCTTTAAAATTCTGAAAGCCTTTGCTTGAGTTTGAACTCATGCTGTCAAAATCTGATTAAAATTTTCCGAATGCTCTTTCACACATTGTAGACATGCATAACTTACCTTATGTTCCCACTCTCTAACCTTCACATGACATATTACAGTATACAAGAATCAGGTAATCTTACATTAGCTCTACTTTCCTGTCATAATCTACATTTTCTTGTTGACAGTCATGCTGTACACTTTACTACAGTGTTTTTTCTGATACAACTGTTCTGGCCACAACAGGAATTTCTATAACGTAGCTGGAAGCTTTACTTATGCAACTTGTCTGTAGCATGCAGGGCAATATTTGCTGGTATGTCAACTCTGAAAAGTTATAATTTTCCTATACTGAAAATGTATTTCTGATAGGTACTTACCTACTTTCACATAAATAGCTATTCTTGTTTAGTGCTGCCCTCTATATACAAAAAATGTTCTATTCATGCCACAAGCTTTTTACCTCCCCTCCATTGGAAATGACTGATTCCAATGCGTCTCTCATGCAAATTATAATGCGATGATCCTCTACCAATAAGAGTGGGACACACTATTGTTATGCTAGCAATGGATTCACGAAGTTTAATAATGAAGAAGAAGACAGTTGATAAAACAAAAAACATTTTATTTACAAGGTTTGAACATTTTGGAATAACTTATTCCATCTTCAGCAAAATCTGAAAATCGTGTTACAAAAATGATTATTGCTAAAAATATAACATAATCATTAGTTATGTTAGTTATTATGAAAAGTTGTAAATGGACGGATGAAACAATGTTTATATATATATTACACAACAGCTGAGTTAAGTGTGAAAACTTAGAACAATTTTAGATTTAAAGAGCTTTGTGAGTCGTTAAGGGTTGGGCAGTCTTTAGCTATGTAGAGGTCAAGGTCTGAAGATACTGTGGTAATGATAGAGAAATCATTAAATGAGATATTGTGATCTGTGGTTTCAGAATGTGAGCAAATGGATGAGTGGCTGGGTTTAAGTAGTGGATGGTTGGTTCTGTTAGATACTCCTAAATGTTCACAGACTAGTTTTTAATTGGCATTTCATTTTGCCAATGTACATGACCTTACTCTCATTAAACGTATATTTATACATGAGCCTTGAAAGTAGAAGTTTAGGCATTTGATCTTGTACTGAAATATATGTTTAATGCGAAGGCTTGGTCTGTATATTATTCTAAGCCGAATTTGAGGATAGAAGTTTTTTATTAGGGAAGAGAGTTGAATTTTAATTGGTAGGGATTGCGAACCCAGTACAAACATTCAAACCTTGTGAGTAAAATGTTTTCAGTATAGGAAAATCATAACATCCGATATGGTACACTACCTCTTCTCACATAAATAGCTAGAATCTTCCAGCAGTAAGAATGCAATACACTCTTGTTACGCATGTGACTACCTCTATTCAATTCTACCTAACTGTTACTTCGAGTTTTGGCAGAAATAGAAAGCACTGGTGTTTAGTGAGGAGGAATGGTGGGAAGTGTGACAAGAAGTAAGTACCTATCAGAAATACATTTTCAGTATAGGAAAATTATAACTTCTGATACAGCACATTACCTCCACTCACATAAATAGCTAGAATCTCACATTGAATAGGTGGAGGGACCAGTGCTAGGGAATGAAAGTGTCCAAAGGACACTCCTTGAGATGAGAAAATCAGATACGAAGATCTGATGTGGGAGACTGCACCACTTCTGAACTTGGTGTACTCTTCAACCATCTGAGAAAGGCGATGCATATATGGGTGGACAAACAGAGGGGCACATCCAAGTGGGAGAGAACTACAGCTGGATAGTGATCAGAATTATACAATATTTATGAAACTCAATTCCATAAAATATAAAAATGGGTAAAAGCAATGGATATTCCCCTTGGTGTAGTGGCTAGGGTGCAATGGACCATACACAGCAAATCAACTACATCCAAAATCCATGCTGCTGGGAACCAACATCCATGTGGGGGTAAGAAAGAGGATCATATCGATGGCAAGTCAACTGCAATCCAAAACCCAGACATCTGACGTCACCTCATATTCAAGAGACCAGAAGGAATCTAGAAGCCACCCCCCCAACTCCTGAACAGGGCACATGTGAATAAGATAAATTGATGTATCAATCCAGGAACACAACATCCGGTATCAAAAAGGTGTCTACATAATATAAAGCAACTCCCTCAAAAGTAAAACTGACCAGAATCACCCCAAGAGGAATAACATCCTCAGAGTAAGATACATTGAGGGATAGCAGAAAGGAAAGAACTGTAACAATTCCCAGTACCTCCATCGTGACCTACAACACTGATGGAGTACAAGTGAGGGAGGAGTATAGACATCCATAATACATGTGTGAGGATTTATGGTGATTGGTTCTACTTTAAATCCAAAACCTGGTCACTGGGAACCAACTTCTACGTGGGAGTAGGATGAGGGATCCAAATCGAAGGGGTGAACTGCAATTTTTGAGTCTCAATCCCTTGTTTTTTATTGGAAGATATTATGTCATCTTCACCAGCAGAACACCACCACCTTACTCTCAACTGAATGGTTATATAATCATTTCTATATTCTGTTGATATTTCATTATCACATTCAGGAGGATGCTTCCATGGTCCACCACCTCAGTGGCTTGGAAAGGGAAAGTGGTAAAGACTCTCTAACTCCACTAGAACAAAAGGGGCGTGGGGATAAAACATGGTGGAGAGTCCAGAGGAACATCAACGCCTGAGACAGTGCAATGGGTGACCACAAAACCCTATTTTTAAAAGCAGACAATACCAATTTATTCACTACAAGGCATGGCAAGGGTGGGTAGCTATCCCTTTCAGCTTTACCCATGTACTTCGTGAGTGGG